GCTTTCTTTGAAGTTGACAAGAATACTGTAAGTGATACATTGTAATAGAATGTAGCTATGATTGCATTAATGCATTCAAAATCTTGGTGAAGGAATGTCTTTTATTTTTCATTTTCTTGGAACTAGGGGTGATTAAAGTGCTCTCATATTAGAAAAATATAATAAAAGCAAAATTATAGTACTTATTGTAATGGCAATTAATACTCACCCAGCATGTACTCATCTTCTATACCAAAAGTTTCTAATTCATTAGGGAACTCTGTCCACAGAGGCCTGGGGAAAGAAAAAAATTCGTATTTTAACATCATTAGATGTTTTACTACATTCTTTTCTTAGGTTTTAGTTGTTTTAGTTTAGTTTTTTTTTTTTAGACAGGGTCTCACTATATGGCCTAGTCTGGTCTGGAACTCAGTGATCTTTCTGCCTTAGCCTTACAAGTGCTGGGATAACAGGTATGTGCCACCACACCCAGGTCTTTTCTCAGATTTTTATATTTTTAGTTTTATAACTATTCAAAGTAAATTGGAAAGCATCCAAGAGCCAAGATTTTTCCTTACATGATTCAAGATTTTATGAAGAATTGCTCTGATTATTTTATATTTTTAATACATGGGAGAGATATTAATATAAATGTTTCTAGAACCTGCGATTTTTCCTTGATTGCAGAAAGCACTTGGTGTGATAAATGCTTTAGTAACAGGCAGAATGACAGCTTTATATAAGTGCAGATGCCCAACATCTTTCAAATAAAACAAATTAAATGTTTGAAAAATTCTATTCTATAATGATGATAATTTTGGGCTATTTTTTCTTGCTGTCACTGTTTTTCATGTATCATTTTACTACATATATTTTGAGGGAATTGAGAAGTTTCTCAGTATTCTTTTTTGATTTTTTTCACACAAATGTTTAGAAGGTATTTGAACTTATAGAAGATAGAAGACCTTTCAATATCTATGTATCTGGATATCAACTTAATGGTTCTCTAGTCATTATTCAATTCATGAGGAAAAGATTGTTAACAAGAGAAACATCTTTATTCACTAGACTTTGTAATAACATATTACTTTCATTCTGAATGGTGACAAAGCAGTTATCACTAAACCTGGTGAATGTCCACAATCACAGGGAAACATCTATCAAACGCAGATCCCTAAGACCTACCCAAGGACATTCCCACAAGGGTTTTAGAGTGTGGCTATTGAAGTCTACAGTTTTTAAACACACTCAGGAGATTCTGGTGTAACTCATTTAGCAGCCACTAATCCTGAAGCCTTGCCTTATTATTGCTTTCTGTGCATAGCCTTCCCTAACCACACAAGTTGTTTTTTCTTATTCTGCCTTCAAAATAAAATTAGAATTTGGACATTAAGAAAAAGTTCATATCATAAGGAAAAGAATTCAGCTTTAAGGGTAAGTAAGATAAAGTCTAAGATTCTTCACGAGAGGGTGCATATGGGTGAAATACTAACAAGATCATTTCCTTGGGCTGGGGATATAGCTCAGTAGCATAAGCGCCTACCTGTCAAGCATGAGGTGCCAAATTGGATGCCCAGTCTCTCAAAAAAAAAAAAAAAAAAATTGCTTCTTTGTTCTTTGAAATGTCTCCATTAACACTTTAATCACAAGTACTAGGAGGTCTAGTTTTTATCTTCTGCCTGCAACAGCCAACATCTTCTGCACAG